CAATATGTATATATATATACAGTATAGTGTGTGTCAGCATTTGAAGCAAGACGTGGGTATATTTTATCCACTTACGCAAAATCCGTTGCTACAGTGATGGTGTAAATCTCAGCTGTAGACTGTGACACATTCTGCTTATTGTGTTCATAAAATATTAAATAATAAAATATTAAAATATGTTTCATGGACTGCTGTGGCAGGGGTCAAAAGTGAGGTTAGTTTTCTCACCTTCACACTGAACAGAAGCATTTCAAAATTCTATTTTTACTGGTGTTATGTAATACCAGTCCAGGGGTTTATTTGAAAAGGATCTTCAATGATCATGTATTGATTTAAAGTAAGAAGAAACCTGCAATTAAGAGGTTTTTAAAACCTGACATTGACCTTCATGTGAATAATATCCTGCTGATTATGCTGGAGCAGTGCATGTGTGCTCCTTGTTCGAACATACAAGTCATACCTATGTATATGTCACATGTGAAAACATAAAAAAATGTAACTTGGCTGCTCTCAGTCATTAGACTTTTGACAAAAGAAATTTTAGGATCAGGGAAATCAGGACAAATAAGCCAAGATGGTGTGCAAGAACATGTTTCCTTGACATTGAACCAAAAGCAAGAATTTAAGACTTTTTAAAATCACTTACAATGACATTTATTGCCAACTTCATGGCCATACTGGCAAACATATGAAGGATTCAATAGAAAATAATTATTTACCAAGTACTTGTTTTCAATAAAACATTTTATTATAATACTCACATTCAATATACAATAGCTTACGAGTGGTGTGATAGAATTATTTGCAATTGTGATATTATATACAACTGTTGGTATTATCATTCTATTTCAGTAGTTTATTTTAAGACGTATGCAGCTTAAGCCTAAACGTTTGATGACATATGCCATATAACTATTATTATTATTTTCTTATTGTGTTGTAAAGTGATTACAAATACACGAACACATAAACAGCTACAGACTTTTCACCTTATACACAGCAGATCTATCACAACTCAGTCACAGCAAACTGGCCAGAGATCAAATCCTATTCTATCTTCCCTTAAAGGGCCAGTGTGTAAGATTTAATGGCATAGTATAGTTAGTAGTGAGGAGGTTGCAGGTTAAAACAAACTAAAACTTCTCCTGTGTGATTAATATTATATGTATTATTGCTGCTCAACAAAGCCTTCCTGCTGGTCCCTCTGTGGTTCTGACATTCGGTTTTATTGTTTATCAAGAACAAACACAAACAGGACTAGTTACAGCAGAGGAAGGTGACGGCAGGAGTACACACTTCCGTTCAAGCTACCCTAACGTTTGCTCACAGATCCACTGGAGTCTGGCACTACATTTGGAGTTGTTTAAACCAATGAAATCAATCATTGTGCGAAGGTCACCACAGTCTTCTCCTCCAAGCGAGTCATCAGGCTGCCCACGGGCCCAGTCCAACCTGCAGACAGACAGTTCAATATTTATTTTAGCTAATCGTGTAAGGTCTAACGGGAAGGTTGCCATTTCCCTCATCAGCACTGCCGACGAGGTAAATGCAACAGGTGTGTAAGTCTGGTGATGTGAGGAGAGCAGGACTGGCTGCTGGTGGTTAGAGAGGATGGCAGGTCCGAGGAGTGAGAGGAGGATAGATGGGCTGAGGGAGCAGAGAGAGCTTGTAGCTTGTACAGATTCTGGATCAACGGCACAGAATCGCTGCATGTGAGATTACTGTCAGACTGAGTACTGTTACTCATTACTGTGCAACGCCCCTGTTGGTTCCAATGATGTAGTTATCATGCAAAGTAGGCCGCCCCCCCCGAACTCCTGTGCCCGGAGCGACTCCGGCAGTCCGGCCGCCCACCCGGGTCCAGAGCCCTCTCTCCCGTCCGACCGCCCTCCTGCCCGTCCCCCGGAGCCTGGTGGCAGATTGGATCCAGCTTTTTTCCTCCCCGTGGACTCGTCTCATCTCCAGTGGTTACCCCTCGTGTTGACTCTCTGACTCCCACGGTTTCTGTCTTTGCCTTTTGCATTTCACCTCACCTTGTGTCCTGTGTCTAAGTCTGCGCCTGAGTCTCTGCTCCACTCCTAAACCCACACGGTAAACCTTGAACCATCACAAATGTGTTGCTTTGGTTGAAAGTGTGTTGCATCTCTAACTAGCGTAATTGATCAGTGTGGAGAGTGATGTCACAGTTTACTGACACGCTTCATATACTGCAGCAAAGGTGAGAAGTTCAGCAAAGAACACGATATAAAACTGAAACATCATTCCCTAAACAGAAGTCTGAAGCACTGTCCATGTAATGACATGCATTCCTCATCTGAATGAATCATAACAAAGGTCACTTCCTGCAGCACAGTTCCCCATGTATGTCTATCAGTATCTCACCTGTCTCTTTTCACTGGTGTTCCATCCACCCAGATCCAAGTCCCTTCCTCCTCCCTGTCAGTCATACCAACCCACGCTGCCATGGTGAATCCAGTGAGGAAGGCCTGTCAGAAAGCAACCGGCTCAAAACACAAAGGAACTACAGAATCACACACTGCTGATTTAGATATCTGAGTTTCTGGATCATCCCACAGAGTATTTGTAGCAATGACATTCAGTTTAATAATGAGCAAACAAGATGTCAGCACGAAATTCACAGAGGCTATTTCTTTACAGATACACTTTAGAAAAAATAGAAGAAGCAAATCAGGAAGCTGCATGTGAACATGAAGGTACCTGTTCCTGTCTGCTGTTGATTATGACCAAGTCAGAGTCTCTCTGCACACAGTCCAGCCGGCTGCCGTCCCAGCTCCTCCTCTGTGAGGAAATGTAGTAACAACTGGAGCCGAACATCAGCCAGCCCTGTGGACACCTCTCTTCCTCTGCCTCTGCCTCACCTCATCACAGCAACACAGACATAGCACGTCACAACACAGACCACAGAGGACAGAACAGTCTCATGATGCAACAAAGAGCAGCATGCTGCTAAACACAATGCCTTCTCACAACGCTTGGTCCGTTCAAGGTTCCCCTCTAGCATCAGTTGTTGACGTGTCAGGGACGAAGTGTCAATAAAGACTCATGGTGTTCTTTTCAAAATACACTTCCAACGTAGGTTTCCTCAAAACCACTTGGTTAGGTTTAGGAAAGGAACGCCACGTAACTGGCGTTAGTTAAGTAGAGAAGGTACGTAATGAAAATAAGGTTAATGAGTCAACGTTGCTTTGGTTTTACACAGGACATGAACACAGGTCTCTTGGATGAAAGTCTATTGTTTGACCCATCCACCAACTTCTGAGAGGACTTCCTGGACTACGTCAGTGTCTCTGACCATCTAATGATGTGGATGGGTTTACATTGGAGTTAACTGAAGGGCCTGATGCAGCGAGTACCACCAAGTAATCTCCCTTGATGTCGCGTTGCTGTGGAGGCAGAAATCTCAGAACTTGAACCGATGAAACTATGTGTGGACATCTGTTTCTTTGCTTCTTTTTCATTTGGGTGAACTGACTTTTATCTTTCGATATTTCAGTGTTCAGTGCTTCACACAGAACATTATTCGTGTCAGTGTGGACAATATGAAACAATATATCAAATTCCACTGGTGGCCTTGCTAATGGAGGTGGACAGTACATATTGAAGAAGGGATAAAAAAAATAAAAATGAACGATCATGAATCTATATACAGATTTCATTAAGTACAATGCAGTAAGAACTACTACTACAATAATATCGTGTCTCGAGCAGTATTAACCCCTATATATATATATATATACTGTACATTAATCAAACATCCTATTGGTTTTGTTTTTGGTCACTTTGGCGATCACAACTTAAATCACCTTGTAGTTATGTAATGGTGATTTTGTTGGCAAACAGTTTACAACATGTCTACACTAACAGCTGCAGAGCAACATGATGATTCATGAGGAATGGTCTTTGTGTCCACCTGATGAATGCAAGTCCAATATTCTCAGCTCCTGATGTAGCCATCTGTCTCTTTAGCTGCTACATGCTCCACTATGTTCACCAGCTCCCTATGTGTCTGTCTGCTGTTTGGTGTGAACCCAAAGAGCCCGGTGAGAGGCTGTGGAACCAGAACAGTGAGCTAAGCTCGAGAGCTGCAGTCAGGTGTCTGTACCTACCTTTATCAGTGGGCTCACTCAGAGCCAGTCTCAGAGAGATGTTGAGAATCACCTGAAGAACACACAGCAGACCACAGCACAGCAGAACCACACTGAGATGTTTTAGCTCTGAACAACACACACACACACATACTTATTATTAACTTTATAAATCCACTTAAATAATCATAATAATAATATCCTTATGTTATTAACTATGTAACTATACTTTACCACAAAACACACAACAGCACTTTAATAATAATAATGTTAATTTTCTTATGTTATATTAAGATTATTATCTCAGACTTCTGAGAAAAGTTTTCATGAAAAAAATAGTTTTTTTTCAGAAGTAACAAGATACCTCAAAAACCTGCAGAAGCTCTCATTTCCTTCATGGAAGCAAATCTCTCCGCTCTGCTTAGTTGAATCATTGAGAAACTAATGAAGAATGACGTGAGTGCTACTGAGTTTCTCTCGAGTCACCTCATTCAGATGATGCATTTCTGATGCATCATCTTCTATCTGTGAAGATCATGTTGGTTCAACTGATTCTGGAGAAACAATCTAACGTCCAGCAGATCAGAACCACAGACTGTATATAAGAACAACAAAGTCCTGAGGTTTTGCACAAAGTCAACAAACTAATAACAATACCATCTATATTACTTAACATGTCTAACAGTATCTCCCGACGTCTCAAACCCACACCAAAATAAAACCAGATTAAATTGACGGGAGAAGTTTGCTTCCTCTCTTGGGATATTGAGATATCTCATTGATTCAGAAAAACTGATTTCTTTCCATGACGTTTCTCATAATTCTGAGATAATAATCAAGTTTTTCACATTAATTCAGAAAGAGAGCAAATGTTTTTTCTTCTCAGGTAAATACATTCCATTCTTCATACATATATCTATATATATATATATATATATATATATATATATATATATATATATAT